CCAGTGTGCGCTAACTTAGTGCCCAATCAAAGAAGCATCTCATCTAGTGGAAGGATAAGGAGGAGCAGAAACAGCAAGTGCAGGGGTAGAAGAAGCAACAGCTCTCTCTTACAATCCCAGAAGAAGGAGGAGGAGGAGGAGGTGCAATGTGAGGAACAAGAAAACGAGTAATAACAACATCTAAGGAGTGATGCGGTACAAAAACAGATGTGACTGTACAAACAAATGTTACCTCGTGTGAAAAAGGCGCGCAGGAGCAGCCGCCCAATTTTTTTTTCTCGTCTTTGGGTGCTGTGGGCGGGTGAATCACCATGCCCGCAGCAGTAGCAGCCCATCATCAGTTATATGTGGATACACACAGCCCCACCGAGAGAGAAAGACGGAAAGCGAGCGACTCACTCGAGGCCGTCAATGGACGGCGCCGTGAGTTGCACGCTGTCTTCATACGTCAGCAGACGCTCAGCGGTGGGCTGGCTGCCGGTCTTGTCATTGCCTTCCCCTTCCCCCTCCTCCTTCTCCAATTGCAGTAGAATCTCCGACACCTCCTCTTGACTAAGCAGCTCCTGCCGTGGCCCCTTTGATGCGGAGGACGCCGAGCTCACTTGTCGCCTGCGCTTCGCAGCGCCACGCCGTGAGGAGACGGTGCTACAGGCCACGTCCTCGCTATCCTCCGTGTCGGCCTTCACCACTGCGTCAACAAGGACACAGCTGTTGTCGCTCACATCGCATATGCACGGCAGCGATGTCAGGGTGGTGCGCTCCTCAGGGTGCACGGCGTTAGGATGCAGAGATTCAAGCTGCACCGCCGTCTCGCTGCGGTCAAGGTTGCCCACATCGAACATACTGCGCAGCTGCAGGCGTGTGAAGTAGCGATAGAACTCTTCCCCCTCTCGTTCCGGCGCTGCATCTGTTTCTGCTGCATCTCCAGCTGCTTCTGGTGCCGCTGCCACCGTCGCAGTGCTCTGCTTTGCTGCCATGACCTTGAACACCTGGTTGCGGTACACCTTCTCCTCCACGGTACCGCACGTGATGAGGCGGTACACAACCACGTCGCGAGTCTGGCCGATACGGTGCACGCGGTCAATGGCCTGCGCGTCTGTTGACGGATTCCAGCTCGGGTCAAGGAGAATAACTGCCGACGCCGCCTCCACTGTGAGGCCAACACCACCAACCTGCGTTGTAAGAAGGAACACCCACAGGCGCTCACTCTTGTTGAATGCCTGCACCGTACGTACACGTGTCTCCGGCGGCACATCACCGTCGAGCCGCGCATATTCAATCCACCAGCACTTGAGCGCAACGGCGAAGAGGTCGAGGAGCCGCTTTGACCGCGAGAAGACAAGCGTCTTGCGCTTCTCGCCAATGCACTTCACGACCAACGCCAGGGCAGAGACAATTTTGGCGCTGTTGAACGCATCCCCGAGATGCGCGTAAGCTTCGGGGGCTTCGAGTGGGTTGCGCATAGCCTCGCGGTACGCCTCGTCGTCGAGGTTGAGCCACGGGTGGTTGCATGTCTGCATCAACGACGTCAGTAGCAGAAGCGGCTGCGAGGCATCAACATTCCGAAGCGTCATGGCCACGCGGTCGTTATCGACAAGCGCGATGTACTGCTGCTCCTGTGCCGTGTTGAGGCGCACCCACGCGATGAGGTCGCGCTTGTCGACAGGTAGCGCCTCTACTTGCCGCTTATCTCGGCGCAGCATGTAGGGGCGAATCGCGGCCTGCAGAAGTGCGAGTTGACGCGCCGCATCGCACCGCTCCTTCTCCAGTGCGTCACGCTCGTTGCCGCGCAGCAGGACAGTATTTATCACGCGGAAGTCCGCCCGTGTGGTGCCGAGAATAGACCCGTCAACGAACTGAAAGATGCTCCAGAGGTCCTCAAAGTTGTTCATCAGCGGCGTCCCTGTGATGGCGATGCGGTGGCGCGACGACAGCGCCATGGCGCTCTGGAACACCTGCGTGGACGCGTCCTTTATGAGGTGCGCCTCGTCCATCACGACGTAGTCCACCATGCACGCCGACATGGCCGCGCTGTCCTGGCGCAGCACGCCGTATGTGGTGAGGAACAGGCAGGCGGTGCCATGCTTCAGCCGGCGCCAGCGCTGGTGCCGTTTTGCCTTGACGTCGCCGTGGATGGCCTCCACCAGCGGCGCCCGCAGCCCTCCCCACTCCTGCAGCGCGGCCTCCCATATGGGCAGCAGCGTCGGCGGCACGACAATGATGGTGCTCGTGGCGTGCCTGCTCGCGTACATGGCTCCGAGAAATGTGGCAACCTGCACCGTCTTCCCAAGCCCCATCTCGTCAGCAAGCAGGCAGCCGCGACCCTTGCGGTGCCGCTCGTACAGCCACCGGATGCCCTCCTTCTGATAGTCAAAGAGTTTCGCCTCGATGTCTGTCGGCAGCGGCAGTGTACTAGGGAGGGGCGCTGCCGCAGGGGTAGAGCCTGTCTTGCGGCTGCTGTCGGTTCGTGTGGTGTTGACGGAACTACTCTCGCGCAGCTTGGCCGACGAAGACGGCGTGGCAGTGTACTTGCTCAGGGAGAAGAGCTCCTCCAGCTCCTCATCGTTCATCCTCCTGCTGTACTGCTGAACACACACACGCGCACGCGAGAGGAGCGAGAACAAACCCCCAAAACAAACAAACAAACCGTACAACAAGAAGAGAATGAACAGTTGTGCAAGCAAACAAAAAGAAAGAAATACTGTTAGCGTACGCCTCGCAGCAGTAACAGAGTGTGCAGGAGTCTCCAGTTGGTGCCCATCATGCTGGCGCAAAGACACCTATGCGAAGTAGTGAGAATGTAAACCAGAAATGTACACGTTCCTCCTTGCTTTACCTCCTTTCGGTTCATGTGGTGCTAGCAAACACTCTTCTACCATCACCCCAATCTATTTTATTCCTTCAATCTTTCTCTCGCTCTCTTTCTTTATTCCCCGCACTGCGCCGGTGCGCAGTCACGCATCTAGCGCACCGTCGGCGTCGTTTACAGGGAGTAGCGCGTTGTCACGGACCACACCGTCACGCAGCCGCAGCGTCGCCCCCTGCAGCCGCTGGACGCCGTACAGCCCGTTCAGCTCCACCACCGACTCCGCCACCGTGAGCGCGGCGCCAGTGGCGAGGAAGACGCCATTGCCGCCGTTGCGCAGCACGCTACAGCGCTGCAGGAGCCCCACAGCGCCCTCGTACGCAACGACACCATCGGTGACGTTCTCCTCCACCACCGTCTCCCGCGCGTGCAGCGACGACTTGCTCGCCACGCGTATCCCCGCCTCGCAGAGCCTCACTTTGCACTGTGCCACTACCGCCCTTGCGCCGTGGTGAGCGAAAATACCGGCAAATGCGCATGACGAGAGCACACAGAGACGTAGATGGGCCACCGTCTGCGCGCCCATCGCCTCCACCGCACAGCTGCCCTGGTAGAGGTGGCAGCCGTGCAGGTCTACGCGAGCACCAGCTGCGGCAACCACCAGCGGCGTACCCTGCGCCAACGGATCTTCCGGCGTGCTGTCCACTGCATCCTTCTCCACCAGCACAACGCCACTCACGCGCAGCTGTGTGCTGCTGCCCTCTGCACGAATGACAGGCTCGAGTGTGCTCAACGGCTTTATGATCACAGCAGCGCCAGGAAACACTGCAACCAGCTCCACCGCGCCGCTGCCAACAAAGTGCAGATTCTCATGGTAGACGCCAGGGTGCAGCACGATAGAGTCTGTATCGCCGATGTGCCCACTCTCCAGTATCGGCCCAATGACCGCCGCTCTCCGCCGCGTCTCAGGCTGCAGCTTATGGACTCTGCCGATGACGCGACGCTCAATTGCCATATCTGAATTCTCCTCTTCTTCTTCCACCTCTATTGGTACTGACATCTGCTGGGTAGAGTTGGGTGTCAGTGTCACTGAGTTCATTGGTGACACCTGCGCCTGGCCCAAACTGACGTCCTCGTCGTCGTTCATGTCATTTCTGGAAGGACTGCAGGCGTCCTCAACACCAATCCTGCCTGTCTGCGTCGCTATGCCTGCTGTCGCTACCTCTGACTGAACTGCTGCATCCTGCCGCCCCGCTGTTGCAGCCTCCACCTGTGTGGCTGCATCCCGTCGTGCGGTGTGTGGCACTCGTGCAGCCGTCACCGAAGCGCTCAGTTCCTGAAATCGACGTGCACACGTGGCGAAGTGCTGCATGAATGTTAGTGCATGTGCAAGAAGAGGACCCTCCACTCTTGCCTGGCCCGCCATCTGACCCAGCACCTTGGTCAAGTCAACGGCTTCCATGTCGCAGAGAAGGCCCTGCAGCTCCGCCTGCACTGCGCTTCCTTCATCGGCGGTAGGATCAACAACATCAACAGCACCAGCACCCGATCCTGAAGTGACGCCACTGAGATTCAGCGAGGCACCTCGACTACTCTCGCCCTGATACTTTGCCCGCAACGCGGCAAACATCGACTCCTCTCTACCCGAAAATGTCTGCAAAAGGGCATCCACCTCCCCTAGTTTTGCAGGGTTGTACTTCTGGTAGAATTCAACAAGCTGGTCTCGGTAGTTCATTGGGCACACCGCAACCCCCTCGAAGGCATACACAACTCTCCCAGCGCCTGCCTGTGCCTCAGCGTTGGTGTGTATCTCTTCCTCATATATATGTGTGTGTATATGTGTATTTGATTCACAAGAAGAAGCGGCAGCGGGGTAAAGATGAGCGGGACCGCAATACGACCAGCAGGGCATTGCTCCATCAGTGCCAATGCGCGGGCGTCCCCATCACTCCTGCGTCCAGCGGCACACGACTCGACGCACAGACTGCATACATTACAGCGAATGCGGGGGCGCAAAACAGAATAGGCGACCCCAGCACACACGCACGCACAAGGAGGAAGGCGTCAAAAGGCACAACACACACCCAAAGTGATTGAAGGCGAGAGACACACCTTTCTTTAATTTTTCCTTTTCACTATGCACATGCTGTCTCCCTTTTTTTTTCCTTTTTTGTTTCTCGTCATTCTTTGGTCTCTTACTTGTTCCCCCTTCTCGCCCACCCCCTTATCTATGCATCGCGTACTGTCTCTATCTTATCCCCATTCAAATAGGCACGAACAGCTGCCGTGTGGAGCTGAACTTCCGCTCCGCCTCGTCAATCTCGCTGAGCTCATTCTCAATCTTGCCGCGCCGCGCCCGGATTGACTGCGTGTCGTAGCGGATGGGGATCTTGTTCAGCTCCACCTCGAGCTCCCTCCGCCGGCTGGCGAGCTTCGCGAGGGTCTCCTGCCGCTCCTCCTCCGTGATGGGGCGGTGGCCCGGCGGATACTTTGCCACCTCCTTCTGACGTTCCACCTCGCGCTGCAGTGCATCCTTCTCCGCGGCCAACTCCGCCTTGCGTTGCACAATGTACTTCGGCACCGCGCCGCGCGGGACGCTGCCAGCGTTCGTTAGACCGCGCGGGGCGTTGGTGGCATTCGTTAGACCGCGCGGGGCGTTGGTGGCATTCGTTGGACCGCGCGGGGCGTTGACTGCATTCGTTGGACCGCGCGGCGCCCGCTGTTGCTGCAGCTGCTGTGCGGGACGTGGCTTGGCTGCTGGCTCTGCCGCACAACGCTTCTGCGTGGCGTCGTTCTCCATGAAGCTGAACGACTGCGCCCGATCGCCGTCGCACTCGCGGATGAAAACCTTTATTTCCACGTCGTCGCCGCCACCTCTCAGATTCCCGTATCCGTGTGAAGAAACATGATTGAATTGCGCCTTCTGACGCTGGATGATTTCATCCGCTCGCTGCTTCTCAATCATCGCCTCCCGCGCCCGCTCGCGGTTCAGCTGCTGCTGCTCCCTGATCTGCAGGTAATTCTGCCGGGCAGCGTTGGTCGACATGCGCCAAGAACAAAGAAAAAAAAAACTATCACAACGTATTTTCACGCCTTCTGTGGCCACTCACTGGCTGCTTCACCGGACCAATGATGCGTCCACCGCACGGATTCTATGCTGTCAGCTGACACTTCTACTGTGGCCGTACAAGCGATGGGCCAAGAGAACCCAAAAGCAAAAAAAAAGGGGTGAGGGTGCGAATGGGACGCAAGAGGATTCTCCGCGGAGTGGAGAAGAGAGAGAAACCAGCGCACAACACCCACTCCAATATTAAAATAACGAATACAAAACGCGGAGTCCCTCTGTGAGAATTCATTCACGTTTCTTTTTGTTCGCGCGAGGCGGGGGAAGGGATATAGAGAGACCTTCCGTGAGAGAACACACAGACACACGCGCAGCAGAGCCGTATCACTCCTCCAGCTTGCTGTAGCGCCCCGCCCCTACACCTCCCTCTCTGCGTCTCACTTGGGGTTAATATTCTCCCGTATTTTCTGCTTCAGGGTGTCCAGGTTTGCTCCAATGACGTAGTCGAGCATCTTCCCTCCCCGCGCAAGCATAAAGGTCGGGAGTTGCAGCACTTTGCACTTCGATACGATCTCAGAGTTGGTGTCTGCGTCCACCTTTGCAAACCTCACTGTTGGGAAGTCGTATGTAAGCTTTTCCATCTTTTGCTCAATCGTCTTACAGGGGCCGCACCACACAGCGCTGAACCACGCAACGGTCAGCGCATTGTCATTCACGAGTTCCCTAAACTGCTCCACACCATACACATCCACCACCGGCATTGCCGCTCTTCCTGATTCTTTTTTTTTTTGCTATTCCACTTGGGTGCGCAGTTTGGGGGG